CCCCCCCCCCCCCCCCCCCCCCCGCCAGCCCATGCGAAGAACGTGGCTCTTGGTCTTACACCAACACACCTGTCGCCCGCTATTTAGTAGGCGCCCCCCGTCCAGACGCTCTATTTTTTTTGTCATCACAACCTTTGCGACGGGTGCCCCGATGGCCTTCCTACCACGAGCCTGTTCAGAAAATCTCCGCCCCGGCCGCGCACGGCAGGTTCTAAGGGTGTACGTGGGGTCCTTCTGGGACGAGCCGTTGATGTACGACGACAACGCGGCCCTGTTCGACATGGAGGAGAGAGATCTCATGAACGACCTCAGAGAGCTTCCCCGAAACTCGGCGGTCCGGAAGATCAACGAGCTCGTCAAGCGGTGCCGGCTTGCAAAGGTGAATTGAAGGCGTGGGGCTGGTCTTGACGCACAGCGTCGGGTCATCCTTGGTTGAAGTTGTGTGATGCAGTACGAGATCGGAACGGTGTTTGATGTTGCCATTTGAAAGGGTTCATTGGGCTCAAGGTTTTGGCTGATCAGCCAGACGGTTACGACCAACGGACTCTTCGCGTCGGTCGGTGTTGTCGGCTCCGTGCGTGCTCGCTGCTGTGCTTTCCGCGAAAGGTAAGACCGGAAAACTCAATGGCCGTGCTTCGAATTCAAGATAACACAAAAAATTTAATGGCTGTGCTCCGTTTTCTCGTCCGACAGGTACACGCCTACATCATCGGCTACCTACGAGCACAGATGCCGTCGATGATGGGAAAGGAGAAGGTTCAGAAGCAGCTCACCGCCGGTAAGGGAACGGGATGGAGGGGGGGAGGGAGGGAGGGAGGGAGGGAGGGCGCCTGGGACAAGGAAATGTTCGGAAGTTGACGTGAATGGTCGCCAGGAGTTTGCGCACGTGCTCCTTAGCAGTGGACGTAAATGCTCCTCGGAAATCTAAGTGTACGATGTGCTCGTCTTGTCTTGGATGGAAGCTTGGGACGTTCCACCTCTTTCGCGGAATGATGGGGGGATTTTTTCTCCCGGTGGTTTATGGTCGCTAAGATTGTGGTACCCTCCTTAGGCTTTAGCTGGCGACCCCTGGAAATTCAGTCACCAGCCCTCGAACACGCAAGGATCGAGCTGAAGCAACTGTTTCGTTTCGCGTATCGTCGCCGGAAGAACATCATGTGGGGGTATGGGGGGTGGTGGCGGCACCTTTTTGCGAAACGAACCGGCACTTGCTAATAATCACCTTCTCCACGTGCAACACCTCTCTCCCTCTCGTCTTTTTTTCTCTCTCCCTCTCTTCCGCTCTCCCTCTCTCCCTCTCCCTCCCCCTCCCTATCTGTCTCTCTCTTTCACTCTCTCTCTGTGTGTCTCGCTTTCTGCGGGTGCCACTCTCTCTGTGCGCGTCTCTCTCTGCCTTCCCCCCCGCATCTCTCTCCCCTGTCTTGGTAGACCTCGCGCAGGTGTTTCGTGCTGTCATGAAACAGCACAACCTCGCGCCGGGAGACTTCCCGGATCTCGAGCCATTTCGGTCTAAGCTGGCGGACACCAATTTCACGAAGTTCCCCAAGCTCAAGGTCAAGATGCTCGAGGAATTAGATGAGGTGAGCAGGCAAAGTAGTCTAAGCTATGCAAGCAAATATGCTGTAACTAGGTGTATATCGGCTAAAGGTTGGGGTTAGGGGCCTGCGTGGCCCCTCCCTGATATTTTTTCGTATCGTAACAAACTTGCTTTATTTCCGTAGGAAGTCCTGAGCAGGTTCTTTTCCTGTGCTCTTTGGCTTCATACCGCTGTTGTCGTTGTCATCGTCAAGCGCAAACAAGGGCACGTGTGGTGTCCGGCAGTACTCTGCGAACCCCCCTAGCCTTGCGTGGGTCTTCAAATCCCAACGTTTTGCGGCGTACCGTCGGTACGAGTTCCTGAGTACCTCTCTCTCTGGACGACTTGGCAAGGTTCAGGGTTATCCAATCCTGGTGTCGGTTGTGTTGGTGCTGCTGCGGCTGCATCGCTGTTCTAACTGCTGCCGTTGTTTTTAGCGATCGTCGGTTGTTGCTGTCAGGCTGTGGCACACAAGTATCAATGGTGTGTTTCCTGAATACCCTGTACCCTCAATTTTTCTCTGCGGCGGTTGCGTTGTATGTTGGTCCGCCCTCTTGTGTGCACCCTGACCCTGACCCCCAGATGCTGTCGGTGGATATCCCGAGACTGATGGAGATGCTGCCGAGAACGGTGGCGCCTACCCGAGCGGACGAACAGGTACTTCTGTAGGCCACGAGAGAATAAGAGATGATTGGGCGAGAAGCAGAGACATAGAGATGATGTGTGTGTGGAGAGGACGGGGGCATTCAGAGAAGGGGGCAGGGAGGAAGAGAGAAGAGAGACCAGAAAAGAGAATGAGGGGCGCAGGGCGAAGTGAGCGTTGTGTGTGCATTTGTGATAGAGAGGAAGAGCTTCAGCGACAGCGGGGGGCGGAGGGGAGAGAATCGCTCTAAAGAGGCAAAAATGGTTGTACTGTAGAATCGTTTGTCCTCTCTCTCTCTCTCTCTCTCTCTCTCTCTCTCTCTCTC